TCTCATAACTTTCATTCTCTCAAACTCAAAACACTCGAAAGATCTTTACACTAGCTTTTAGCCTAGTGCACCTTGCTCTCGAAGGAACCGACTCGTCCATCGGTGGAAGAGAGAGTCTTATTCCATCGGCATCAAGGACTGGATTGAAGGACGGTGGCCAAGCTACCGAAAAGAATGGAGCATCGATGACAATCATGTTTGGAGTCAACTTTGCCGGTGAAGCATTGCCACCACTCCTGATCTTTCCGACAGCTGCTAAAGATCCGTCGAACTACAAACTGAAGGCAGACTTTGCTGCTTCCTTGCCGCAAATGAAAGCAATCTTTGGATTTAATGAAGAGCGGTATCACAACATTCCGTTTGCAATGAACGCGAAGGGAGGTATGACAAAGGATATGTTGTTCGAATTCTTCACACGGTGCATTATCCCACTCTATCCAAAGAGTGCCGACAACAAACAAAACCGAGTGCTTGTTAAGATTGACTCCGGCCCAGGCCGTAGAGACCCAGAGACTCTGTTGAGGCTCCGGTCGACTGGCTTTCACCTTTATCCCGGAATGCCGAATGGTACATCAACTGGACAAGAGCTTGATCAGATGTTCAGCTATTTGAAAAAACTGATCTATGAGAATCGCTCTCGACTCTGGGGTGCTAGATTTCGGCTCGAAGGTGAAACAGCAGCACTGTCGATGGCAGATGTAGGCAGTATTGTTTTTGGTGGTGTTGTGACCTTGACAGATGGCTCCACGATTGAGCTGGTCGATGCTTTTGCCGAGGCGATGGATGCAACACACGTCCACAAAGCCATGGATAAATGTGGCTACTGCCCCAGCACTCGAGTTGCCCTGAAGTCTTCTCAAATTCGGCATGAAATCGTTGAAACAGAGGATGGCGACATTGACGAAGAAGCGGATCCATATGGCGCCCTTCTTGAGGAGCTTGAACGGAAGAACAGGGACGCTTGTGAAGCTCTATTGCTTGATGGATATGATCTTGCTGACAATCTACGTCGCACTGTTGCCAGAGTGACAATGAACCAGGTTCGAGGAAGAGCTTCAGTAGTGACAGAACCAAACACAAGAGAGAGGCAAGATGCCATCATGAAGGTTGCCACTGCCGGCGGATGGTTTCATGTAACCAACGGTGGAGCGCCAATGACGTGCGATGATGCATTGATTGCATTCACTCGGAAAAATCAAGAGAAGCTTGCAAAAGAGCTAGAGAAGAAGAAAGAGCAATGCGATGCGCACCGAGAGCTTGCAGCTGCCGCGGCTCACGTAATGTCGAGCAAGACAGATTACAAGTCATGGCTGAAGTCAGACTTGCAACTCGTAATTCAATGGAAGCAAGGGTCCAATCCAACCGAACCAAACAACGAAAAGACGACGGTAAACAAACCTATTCTCCTTGGTCTTTGGAAGAATAAATATAAGGATATGCCGGCACCAACAGCCGAGGAGTGGACTGATGCTGATGACGAGAAGCTTGCCTCTTTGTACGCAGGAGAGATTGTGGACTTTGATCAAGACGTTGGGCTAAACCGTTGTTTTGATACAGAAGACGAGTGTGTCGCTTTGCGGATCCTCTCTTTCAACAAACAGCGCCGAAAGAAGGTGTTGCTCCGAATTATCCAAGAGCTTGATGACGCTGAGTGGGAGGATATCGACGATGAGTTGTCTTAATCTATTGGTACGTGACAAACTTCTGGAAAATGAGAGGAGGTAGTGTGGTCTATAAGCAATTATTAGCTACCATATTACTCCATATGATGTTGTTGCTTGTACGTAAATATAAGCCATATAATAGACTTTGGCTGGCTACATTTCTTCGTGAATCAGCTCTTGAAATTTGAGGTTGGCATCGACGACAAGCTTGCCCCACTCCAATGCCTTCGCGAGTCGCTTGCCCTTATCAAACTCGGACGTTTTTGGAGAGAACACTTCGATCCGAAGAATGTCCGATGCCTGCATGTTGCCGTCATTGAATTTGCATTCTACCACCGCTGTTCGAGTGACAAGCCCAGCAGACGTGTTGCTCTTCCATTTGAAGCTTCCTACCTCCCATTTCATGCGAGTAGTTAAGCGGAGCTCTTGAGTGGTAAGCAACGATGATGTGGAGAAATCCTTAGGCTTGCACTGGCCAACTTCTTCCGTGGCCGTCTGCTCAAATCCTGTCACAAGGAAGCGGAACTTGACCGAATCACCAAAGCGATCGAAAGAAACCTTGGTTGCTTTCATTTGCATTGTTTCTTGCGTTAATGATCCGTCCTCCGATTTGATACAAACTCTCCAGGAAACAATAGGATGACGTGTCTCGCTGCCAGGACCGACCATCTTGTCTAGCTCGGCAGCAGGACGGATGCAAACGATGGAATTCCACAACGGCTCACCACCGAAAGCGTAAGCAGCATCGCTCATGGTCGACGATTTCTGTTGATTGTGGCGTCTTCCGGATCAAGATCGCACCTGTGGCTCGCGCCTGTGGGTGGCAAAGAAACTTCCAACTAGCGTTGTTCGCTCTTTGGTGGCAGTTTGTTGCATCGAGGAATGCTCGTGTGTGTTCCGGGAAAGATTTGCTAGCATTGTGTATGGCCTTCCTGTGTACAGAAGAGCATTCTGTGGAATATAAATAGTGCTCCAACCGATCAACAAAGCGCACCAACGTTCTGCGGATTCGTGCTGCGGATTGAATTTCGTATTTCGATCGCACTTGCACCTCATAAATCGTCCGCCACGGAAACTCACAGCACCATGCCGCTCTTTCTTGCTAACACCTTTCTCTTTAAACCACAACAGCTCAAGCCTTTGCCTCAAGATGAAGTAGAGACGATCTGTCAGAGTATCCAACAAGGCCTTGTCGATGCTGTGAACAGCGGAGCCAATGCATGCATTAGTATTCACGTTCACCCAAATCATTTCATTTCAACTGGAGACCTCAAGTTCTTGACTGGAGTTGAAGGTACCATCACGTCGCAGTCTATGCATCACTTGGAGCTTGTTTCTGACCAAGGAGCTCGCCGTGTTACGGTTCATTTCGTTGGTGGTGGATCTCTTTTTGTTGTTGCTCATGATGTCGATGATGTCGATTCCGAGCCCGAGCCCGAGCAAGAACAAGACACGGATGATGATGGCACTGACAATGAAGATCATGGAGGAGACGAAGACAATGGATCTGAAGGCAGCAGCAGCGGAAGCAGCACTCGCATGGATCCCAACAATGAATCGAATGCGTCTTCTGATTTTGACGGCGCTTTCGTCGGGTTTAGCCAGCTCTCAATCTAACCAAGCCACCTCCAGCTAACCAAGCCACCCCATCATGGACCCACACTCATATAGCAAGCTGTCAGTGCGCAAGAAGGTGAAGAAGGTCGTATTGCCGTCGTTGAGCGGTGCTTCTTCGCCATGGTCGCTGTTTGGTTAACTTTATGTTAATCGATTTGTTAATCGGTGTTAATTCACTGTTAAATCTCTAATGACGTTGTTATTAACGCTTAACACCCCCATAGAAAAAGCGTGAATTAACTGTCCCGCGTTAATACGCGTTAAACGTGTACTCGGTATCCATGGCCTGCTGAGGTTATCATGGATAGAGGACGTGAGTTCCGCGCAGAGGTCGAAAAGACACTCCGGGATGAATATGGACTTCGTCGCAAGTTCATCACCACGCGTAACCCTCAAGCCAACTCTATGGTCGAGCGTGCTCATCAAACCATACGTAACTTGATCGCTGTTCAAAACATCAAGTGCCAAGACGACCTCGTGAATGGATCCTGGGATGGAGTCCTCACGGCGGTTCGCTTTGCAATGAATGCCACGATTCATACCACCTTGCGTGCAACGCCCGCACAGCTCGTGTTCAATCGTGACGCGATTCACAACGTCCGGTTCGAAGCCAACTGGAAGTACATTAAGGAACGTCGCCAACGACTAATCCAACAAAACAACGATAGGGAAAACGCAACGCGTGTCCCTCATCAATACAATGTCAACGATACTGTGATGATTCAACAGTATCAGCACCGCAAGTACGGTCAGCCAAAGTACAAAGGTCCTTACACTATAGACCGAGTCAATGACAATGGCACTGTACGGCTCCGACATGCTACCGCCAATGGCGGCACAGTCTACCAGACTTGGAACATAAGGTATATACACCCATACAAGGCCTGATCCCCTTGTAGGATTGCCATCGTGCGATGCACATGTCTACATCCAAATCTCATGAGAGTGCCCCGCACTTTAAATCATATGTTCTCCTTGTCCGACTGCTGTCGCGCCTTCCGTGACCCTTGTCAGGGGGCGAATGCAATACACGGCTCTTAGCCTTATTCGCGACTCGATCCTAGATAGGGTTTGAGTTTGACTCATGACTGAGTCTCTCGTGAATAGTCATTTGAGACAGGGTTCTCAATGACCGCTCTGGTCATACTAGGTTGATGATGAAACATCGCTCTAGATATTTAGCCAGCGTGGAGTACTTCCACGCTACTAGATCCATGCTAGACAAACCTTCCACGCGTTCCATTTTAGGATCGTGGAGAGACGTAGGATTACTACCGCAACCTACTCTATCACACTTTATAGTCTCCCGCGGGAGGCCAGATCTACGATCCCTTGATGATGATCTCTCTCGTTGATTAGTTTTCATAGCTTTCTAATCTCTCTCATAACTTTCATTCTCTCAAACTCAAAACACTCGAAAGATCTTTACACTAGCTTTTAGCGTAGTGCATTTGTGTTTGTTAACAAAAGTTCCACAAGGATTGCAAAGCAATCAGCATCATGGAAGTGAGACTTCATGATGACCTTCCCATTGGTTGTCTTGACTGTGTTCTGGAGGACAGCATAGATCCATCGGTTCATCCGTAGGAGTTCTGCAAAGTACTCGGCAGTCATGGGAACATATTCAGTGTCGAAGACCTTGTAGAAGCCTTGTGCTCTGGCTATGACGATGAAAGCCTCATACCAAGTGTCGAACTCCTTGTTGGATCTAAGAGTAGGGTAGGCTGTGGCATCTGCCTTGGCACGGAAGTACCTGCCTTCCGGTTCTGGATTGCCACCGCCTCCACCTCCTCCAGGACATGGATCAGTGCCATCAGGATCTCCTTGGCCACCGTTGTCATTACCTTGTGGATTGCCACCAAAGCAGTCTGGATTTCCTGAACCAACAGGACCTGCTACATTGTTGGGACTGCTTCCCTGCATCCTTTTCATGGGAGACATGCCATGCATGTTGGAGAAGATGGATTGCTTCACCTGTGGTTGTGGCCATTGGCTCCCCAGAGGATTGGGAATGGAGTTCCTCTTTGACTGCTCCTCCAGAGGCACAACAGGTTGGCTGATTGGAGGGATGGCTGAATACACTGGTGTCTGGGATGAGACAACTCCAGTAGGTTGGATGGTGGAGGACACAAGTTGAATGGGAGTGTCCTCTACCCTGGGATGTGATGGGATTGTTGTTGGTTGGTGGCCATCATTGTAGTGGGTGATGGTATCGTCAAACTTGATGACAAAGTCAACAGCAGAGCCTTGCCTTGGACTGTACTGGACACTTGAAAGCCAATGGGGGACCTCAACATGGTCCAGGGAGCCTGCTACTGATGCATGTGCACTACGCTAAAAGCTAGTGTAAAGATCTTTCGAGTGTTTTGAGTTTGAGAGAATGAAAGTTATGAGAGAGATTAGAAAGCTACGAAAACTAATCCATGAGAGAGATCGTTGTGAAGCTCATTGAAGTTGGTCTCCCGCGGGAGGCCTCGAAGTGTGATATCATAGGTTATGGCAATAACTCTACGTACTCCACGGTCCATTTCCGGAACACGTGGAAACTTCAGCTAGTAGCTGTCTAGTAGCGTGGAAGCTTTCCACGCCGGCTAAATATCTAGAATGATGTTCCATCGACAACCTAGTATGACTAGCAGTCATGAGAACCCTGTCTCAATGACTATTCGTGAAGGACTACGTCATGAGTCGAACTCAAACCCTATCTAGGATCGAGTCGCGAATAAGGCTAAGAGCCGTGTATTGCAATAAGTTTCTTGAAGGATCAGTTCCAATACTCCAGTAGTGGACTGGGTCTCGCTGAAACCCTTCCTCAGGGACAGCGGTAGTCAGGCAGTTCAGGGAGCCTTGTCGTGCCTCATGAGTGTTCCAACACCTCCAGTAGGCACCAAACCAAGGACTTGGCCCTGTCAATCAGACAGGAGGGCCAGCAGAGCTCTCTGCTGGGCCCTTTTGGGCCAGCTCTCCTCAGGAGCTGGGAGCCTTCGTTATTCAATCGTGCAGTGGCAGTCTGGGAACAGTACTATCTGCTACCTCCTACTGCTTCTGCCCGGCCTCAACAGGATTGGTATCAACTGCTGCGGTATCAAAGGGGCTACAAGCTAATCAGGATCGGTCTCAATCTTTCGTACTATTTTCTTAACTATGGTAGAAAGGACGATCCTTTCTTGCTGCTTTGCTGGAGATAAGCCAGTTGCGGGTGCTGGAGCTGTAGGCCAGCATAGCTGTTGGAGCTATCTCTGACGGAATCCAGAGCTCTCGCTCCTAGACTTTATCGCTCCCCACGAGTGCGAATGGATCCGCTCTCATGGGAATGCCACGATATACGACTAGTTACTAACTAACTATTTACAAACTCTCCCCATGAATGGAACATCCATGGGCCACTCAGCATTGACTGCTAGTGGAACACAATGTGAGATGGGGATCTCACAAGTGGAGGGACTTGCATGGTTGGTCGGTTGCTGGACCAAAGGTAGGCGCAGAGGGATTGCGTGCTTCATCAGCATGACCAGACTCGGTAGGTGTCGGCGGTGCTGGTTGCTATCATAGCTGTTGTTTGTTTTCTTCATATGTAGACAAATATTCGTGGCTTTGCCACAGGCCGAATTCAGCGGCGGCAAGCTCTCAGTGAAGCGGCCTTCTTGACCCGCAATCATGTCCCTTGACGGATGGGATGGATGGGCTGTACCAGACAGGGACGTAGTCTAGTTGCCCGTCCGAAAATCCAGGGACGGTGCTAGCAGCACAGACTGGAGTGCCCCAATCCTCTCCTATGGGCCATCATGGAAGCAAACACATGATGGAACCACATGCCAAACACTGGTGAACTCCACATTGCCTTGGAGGCAGAGCTGAGACCTGGTTGTTCCGACCTTCGGCTCAGTAGTGTGGTGTGCATGTGCTGCTGTCAGACATGGGGTGGTTGCGACTGGAAGTCATGTGCATTGCTGCAAAGGGATCCTCTCATTCGGCACAAGCCTGTGGCATTGGGCGGTACCGAAGAGGGGTGGTCCGGGATGTACCAAGCTGGGAATCTTTGGTGTCGTTCGACATGGTGGACACCTGGATCTCCAGCCAAGGTTGATTGTTGCACCTGCCCTGGAAGCTGTTTGCTTGAAGCATCCTGCTTTGGGCGTGCACTTGCTGCAAGGGATCCTCTCATTTGGCACGAGCCTGGTGGCACTGGGAGTACCAAAGAGAGGTGGCTCTGCTAGAACCGAGTTGGTTGCCTTGTGCCTTGATAGGCAAACCTGTGGGCATCCAACATGGGTGTTGTCGTCTGGGTCTACCAAAGGACGTGCGGTCCTGCTTGGAAGGGACAACCGTTGTTTCGATTACAGGCGGACTTCCTTGGATGGTGGAATCGTCCTGCTAGAGTCACTGTTGTGTGGGCTCAGTACTGGCCTCCCCATAGCCAATTAGAAGCTGGGTGACTGCTGGAGGTGGAGGAGGCAGCTCTGAAATCTCCCCTCACCCAGTGATGCATTGTGAGCACCAGCTAGGGCAATGTTGCACCGGATCAACCAAGGGTGTGGCATGGGCAGCTGGTTGTTGGCCGATGTAACTTGCAAAGGACAATGGCTGGCGACTCCCCACAAGCTCGGTTGGAAGATGACTGGTGGTTGGTTGTGGCCCGGCCAAAGGGAGTGACAGTGCTCCCCCACAGTCTGGCTTGGAGCTGATGCTGGGGGTATCCTCAGGACTGCCAGTCTGGTGGATCTGTGGCTACATTGCACTTGTGTGTTGGAAGAACAAAGAGGGCCTCTGCTAGTCGCCGCTGTGGGCTTGTACGACTAGTGGCAGGCAACTCCCACAAATCGTGCTTGAGAGGATGTCGGGTACCGGTTGTGCCGTCCTAGTCCTGGAGGGACTGCTTTCTGCCTGAGGGCAGCTGCTTTTGCCGTTGATCTTCTCGAGGTTTCGACTAAGGGACTGGTCAAGCAGCTGACGAATGTACCACTGTCGCTCTTCAATGAGCCCATAAAGGGTAGTGTCCA